TGAAGGGTCTATTTCAGTACCACTACCTTGAACTTCAGACCTGCCAGTTCCACTTAAAAGAGAATTTAACCCATGTTTGCTTATCAGTTTAGGTTGTGTTTTAGAATTAACACTGCAATGCTTTTGAACAGAGCTGCACTCTGTCTGGGCCTCCCACTTAAGTGTAGCACTTTGAGTTAGTTTGGTAGTTTCATTATATACATCCTTGCCAGACAAATACAGGCATTCATCGGTGGTAGTAGTCCTGTTGTTCACTTTGGTAGATGCAAAAGCTTTATCAGACACATCCAAGGTGCGAAGATTCTCTTCATGTTGCATCTTTTTTGATAGGACACTTGTTATGATGCAGGAAGCCATTTGGGTTTTGCTGGACGTTTCATCCAGGGAAAATGACTTCTGAAGCCTTTTCTTTCGTTCGGCCTGTACTGACTTTTGATCAGCCATGTGGGACTCCTGGTTAAATGCTGCTGGGGTGCTATGCTGACGCTGAAATATGTCTCGAGCACGCACAGTTGTGTTTGGAACCTGAAGGGGTTGATTGTTGTTCTCTCTGACGTGTGACTCTGCTGTGTCCCGTCTCTTCAGTTGGATTTGTCTTTTGGGAACAGTCTTTAAGCCTCGCTTTACTTCATCTGTGGTTTCCAACGCCACGTCAACACACTCAAAGCTGCTGGATTCTGAGCAAACAGATGTGTTTTGAGTGTTTGAATGCATCTGCATTTTGAAAGCGAGAACATTTTCCGTCCAAATGTTATCGTTTCCTTCAGGAGAAAGCTGACTTGAGGGCCTACAGTTTGAACTGAAAACATGCATGTAGTCAGTTTCAGAACAGGAAGATCTTACCTGGGCCAGGTTAACAAGGCCCCCCACCTTGCTACTGGCCTCAGCAAGTTTTGTTCCCATGCTGGTTGATCCTCTGGTATTGTCTGTAGAGTGACAGGGTTGCCAAGAGCTGCTACACAGCGTGCGGGAGAGTGGTCTGGACTGCCAGACGCCTTGCCGGCTCTGCTTTTCCAGACTCCGAGTATCCGCGAGACTCTGTAGCTGGTGTTGGTGCCTGGTTGCGGGGATACACTCTGAATAACAGTGTGGCGGGATTCTTGACTCCTGCTTGCTGGCTGTGAGTGTTGAGATGCAGTTTGCAGACGCTTTTCTATTTCTAGACCTGACTGACAGCTCAGCCTGCTCCTTTCTGCAACTCACCCCTCTACCCTCCCCCTCCCCCTCATTTCCCACATGACCCAGAGCATGTCCCTCTCTCTCAAGCCTGCATTCAGCCCCAGGTGCACTCAGACCTTCTCTGGGTCTTTGCTTTTGTGTCGCATGGTACTCTTTTGGCTCTGTGCCACCATGCTCCTGTTCCCTGCCTTTGCTGTATTGATTTCTCTCGGGCGTTATCAAAATAGTGTTTGAAGTGAATCTGGGTTCTGGAGAGCTGTGCTCCTCAGCGGTTCTAATGTTAGTGTGAAAAACAGTCTCGCTGCCTCCAAAATAATCCTGCGGTTTAACTGGTGAATCTTTTTCTGATAAATTAAACTCGTTGGAAGCATCCTGATTTTGTATGCGGTTTCTAAAGGCTGTATTTACAGAATGCAAATCCACATTTGTACCCTTCAGCAGATGTTTTGACTCAAATCCTATGATGATCTCAGATGATGAAGAGTTATCCAGTTCACCTTGGGACACCTTAGGCAGCACTTCTATACCTTTCTCTTCTTGTGTTTTGTAGTCCCGTGATAGCGTGGTGGCTTTGGTAAAGGATCTTGAAGTTATGCCTTCCATAGAGGTAGCACAATCCAAGAACTCAAATGAGCCACCTTCAGTAGGATGCTCTGTAGAGAGAGATTGTGTTCTGTCCTCTGAAGCATCACTGTACTCACTCAGAGAACAAAGAGCAGTGTAGTATGAACTTGCCAAATCATCCATCATATCATCAGTCTGCTCTAGGTCACTTTTCCCTTCATCTCTTTGTTGGAGAGATGGACTAGTTTTTTCTTTGATAGATGGAGATGACATAGACATTCCCTTTTAAACGGGACTTCCTTCTGCGGTGCCTGAAAATTTCTGATGCAATAATGCGGGACACCCTAGTGTGGGGTGGATGTGCAGGTCAGACCTAAAGTGCAAGAGCAGAAATGTTTCCATCAGAGATTCCATCAAGCCTAGTGATGAAACATGAAATCACATGTCCAGAGTCTAACTGATTTTGTCTAGGAAAAATAAAAATAATAAAGAGTTCTATTTTTAGATGCTTTAAATTAAACAGAAAAAACGTGTATATATTTATATATTGTAGTATATTTTTCGCTGAATATGTTATTATAAATGATTTGTATAATAAAGGAATATTTCTAAACACTTCATTGGTACCAGCCACATCCTAAAAATACTGCTTAGAATCTCATGCATTTGATTTGTGATGTAACATTTGTGATGTGACAGCATTGTTTCCATTGTGTTTGACTTAACAGTGTTTGTCCAGGGAAGTACTGTGTATCATAGAAAGACAGCTGCAGATCTGGTGCTTGAAGCCATCTAATCTCTAATGAAAAACTTCACTCACCTGATCCAAGCAATCCAAAATCTTCTCCGTTTTTGTTGAAATTCCACTGAGATGCTAAATCTGAATGAAAAGTCAAGGAAAAGGTGTCAAAGAATTATGTCAACAGGCAAAATGTCTATAATAAGAAATAAGGACAAGTACCCTCTTAAAAAGTATGCTAAGATAGGGACAGCAGAGGAGATGAATCAGACCTTATTTTCTGGCCGCTGAGGGTCTGGATCAGGAAATGTGGTTCAGGCCCAGTAGTAGCTAAGGTTTGACAGCAGGTGCTGGTCTGGCTGTGCTGGAGCATTCCCTTTAGAATCTGACAAGCATAGCCAGTGCAGTCACAGGGCCAGCTAAATATAGTTCCCCAGGCCCCATAACACTATCATCAGGGAGATAGAGCTGAAGACTTGTGGGTACACTGCGGTAAGTATTGGGCCTTTAAATGGCCGCTGCAAATAGAATGGTCACTCAGGTTATGTAGGTATCATTTGATGGTGTAAATTGGTCCTTTTTAATGTAGGCATTAAAGGTCTCACTATATCTAAATTAATTGTACATTGATCTGAACTTTGTTAATGTGAAGTTAATTTTGATGTGAAATGTAGTTATGTAACTGGCAACTTAACTATGGGAGGAAGCACTGTTGTTCGAAAGCAAAAAGTTGTTCGAGAGCAGATGTGCACTTCCTCTCAAGTGTTTGTTGTGTGTTGCCAGCCAACTCTGGGACTTTCACTGAATTGGACATGACCATTCAGGCCATGACAGCTATGGCATTTGACCCACTTGGTCTTGGCTGTGCCTGATGGTTTAATGACATGATATAGTGGGCAGCAAGGATATAAGACTGCTTAATTTCACACAGCGGTGCTCCAAAAGTTTATCATCCACATACATCAAACCTAAGGGGACCACCGACATGCTAGTGTTAAGTTGTGAGAAGTGTATAGCATTACAGAGAGTTAAGAGCATTAGCCTATAACATAACTTCCATATTAGCATTTCACACTGTAACTACAGACTGTTTATACATGGAAATGAGAGACATAATAATACATAATAAGAGTGAAGATTTCCCACATCCCTCATTTACATTTATAAGCATTAATGCTTTTAGCAGACACTCAGAGCAACTAACAAGAGAAGAGCAAAGTCCCTTGGTTTTAGGGTTATTAAATGCATCAATACCACAGTACACCAAATTACAGTAGTTACAACAGTAAAATTATGCTAAATTAACATGGGATCTTCTTCGTAGAGTAGGCCTACTACTACAAGAATCTTTCAGAATCGTTGTGCCGTTTTTATTATTTTGGATGACACTTTCAAAATGGCACTTATAGGCCTGGTTTCACCGACAGGGTTTAGATTAAGCCAGGATTAGGATTTATAGTTCAATTATGGGATTTAAGCTTAAGATTTAGAAGCTTTTATAAAGATTTAAGCTTTTATAAACATGCCTTAAAAAAACATTACTGGTGTGTGCGTCTTGAGACAAAACAATGACATTTAATTATTTGTCAGTGCAAGTTGCTTTCAGTTAAAACAGCTAAAACATACATTTTAGTCTGATAGCCTTGTATGTGAAACAGTGGGATAAATCTGTCTCATTCCTAAATAGAAAAGCTACATTTAATGGTGGGTACATGACATGTTTTACCGTACTGTTAAAACTGCCGATTGCATACTGCAAATACAGAAGCCATTATAGCTAACCCTCTCTACAAATATGCAATCAATTAGATTTTTTTTTTTTTTTTTACTCTTTAACTTAAAATTAATTTGATATCTTTACAAGAAGCTAACTGATCAAATATTGCTGTTTATATAGTAGCCTAGGCTATTAGGCTACATAGGAGATAGCTTATACGACAACTTAGTTTGAAGCAGAATCTACAGTCCTAAACTCCTGATTGCAGGGTCCACCTGCTGGCCAAATACAGGCAAAACATCTAAAATAATAATTGAATATAATAATAATAATAAACAATACTATAATATTGGTCACTATTTTACAAAACTAGTATGGCGTTTCACTAATAAACAGTCATTTGTACAACCATCTGCCTACAAAAATATATATAGCCTACATTTTAATTCCATCAACATGCATGATTATGCAAAATGCGTAATTATTTGAAAAAGGAATTATTGATCAGATAAATACGTAAATAAGGATAACAATTTTATTTATTGCCATTAAATTATAAAACATTTAAAAAAAAACATTTAAAATGCTGCTCTTCGTCCTCGACATCACAACTTAATCTCAGTAATTTCAGGAAACCGTATCACCACCTGTAGATTTAGATGATAGTTTAATAATAACACACACAAACACACATTTCAGTCTTACATCTATCAGTGTTTTAATGATGTTATAATGTCCGCGCGGCGGACTCCTCCCCGTTTCGAGCGAGCATGCAGCTCCGCTCCCCAACATCATCAGATCTGCTCCTCTCGGGCCGCTGGGGGAGCACAGCTCAGCACACTGCACGGGACGGCGAAAAAAAGTCAAAGGGTTAACTCGGACACACATGCGGCGGTGTTTTGATTAAAAAACCCATCCAAGTGTACATTGAAGCGACGTTATTATTCGCTGGAAGAATTTTCCTTGATATGGGATATATTTTGAAAAGTACACACGCACGTAGTTGAAGGATATAACTCCAGTATGCGGCAGTTTTGAAACAAAGGGGTCTGGTCCGGAGCGCCGTTGTCTCAGTGGTAAGACGCGCTGTTGTCTTAATAAAGGCGTTATACTGTTTCCTATAATGTTTCATTTTCAGCTTCTGTTTTAGTTGAGATAGTCGCGGTCGATTAACGCGCTTAACCCGAAACTCGTTGCTTTATTCGTTCACAACTCTCGTGTATACTTGATATCGCTGTAATAGGGGTCTCGTGGCGTGCCGCAGGGGTGGATGTGCGGCGCCGGTCACTTTCATTTCGGACCGATTCTTTTTTTTAAAAGAAATTAAGTGACCTTGAAATACCGAAGGGTTGTCTATGTTTATGTCATTAATTAAGTCTTCCACAAATAAATAAGACAAAGTCGTGATTTTTCTGGGATGAAACCAGTGGCTGTTGTAGTTCAGCGTGAGATGAACTGCTTGAACTTTGCTGGACGACTTCATTCAAGCTCACAGTAAATTTAGAAAATAATTTCCCCACAAGCAACCACTTGTATCATGTCTTTAGTTCTCCTGATGAACTGTGACATTTCCCCTGAAATAGAAGTAGGGTAGTTGAAGAAGTTCCTAAACTGAACAGGAATTGCTTCTTTCCCTCTCACACTCTTGTCTGTATTTAAGGATTGGGGCCCTTTCTGGATGGGAAAGATGGAAACGGAGGGGCAGTGGTGGAAAAGCCAGCTCGCAGCGGACATCCATCAGTCTCTGCGAATTAAGGTGAGTTGAACAGCTTTGTCACAATGCAGTTTTAATCCAAGTGTCATTATCCAGGCCTCCATCGCTTGGCTTGATTGCCACACATTAAACCAGGATTGGTTTGACTTGCTCAAGCTTTGATGGGGAAGTGTGAAATGTCACACCGCCCTCAGAAAATGACCCCTGATTGTGGCTTTTTGAAGGTTCCTGGCCATCGCATCGTCTAGTATTGTATTTTGTATTCAAAACATATTAAATATCATCTACAACTAGGAACGCTGTCCCAGGACTTTGTGACGAAATCACCAGGGTCCTCTATTTTTACCCTACTTTTAGTTTAAATTGAACATAATTTCTAAATCTTTTACTTATTTTTTTTTTACTTTAAACTACTGTTATAAATACGTATTTTTACATTTCATTTTTTCTTTCAAAACGTAACATATATATATATATACTGTATATATATGTTACTATATATATATATTATTCAGCAAATTATGTGAAAGTCTATAGACCAGTGTAGAGTTTATATGTCGTTATTGGTAAACTGGACACATTTTTGAGTTGGAACACTATGTATTGCTAAACCATGTGAACTTTTGTTTCCTCACTGCTGAGTGAATTGCACCCATTAGACAGTGAGGTTTAAGTGCATTTATTTAGTGCAGTCTGTTGTCCTTTTATTGTCCGTCCTGTTTATTGTTGGGTGTGCTCACATCCGGTTTGGAATGTGAAGTGTTCTTGTCTGCGTGTGTGTGTGGGTTTGTACTTGAGTTTTGTCTGTTAGCTTGAGATTACTAAATCCTGCTGTGTTTATTCAGCATGTGTCAAGGAGTGGAAAAATGATGTATGTGACAGAAAGTGGGTTGCATGGACTTTTTTTTTTTCGTGGCACGGTATTCTCTTCACCACCTGGTTGGTCAGAGTTGCACTATGACATCTAGTGATGTGTAGGACTAATGCACTGGAGATGCAAAGTGATTCAGCTGTTTAGTGAAATATCTGAAGTTTGGAGGTTTAGTGTTGGTGGATTTTATTAAGACAGAACAATCTCTCTGTGTTCACCATCGTGCAATGCTCAGTTAATGTTGTGCAGAAATGTTTACGGGATAAATCTTTGCACAGATAGGCTATAGTTTAATTTGTTTTGTGTGGGAGGTTGGCAGACTTCACCTCCCACTACGTCAATACTGAAAGCTAAGAGGCTTTGAAATTAATTGAAATCTTTTAGGAGGTTAATTAGCAGCCTTGCTCTTAATTTTGCTCAAATGTTGTTGTTTTTTTTAGCACAAAATAATTTCTGTAATGTTGTGTTTTCCTTCACTTTAAATTGTGTTAAAGCTATAATTTAGTCTGTCTTCAGCAATGTAAATGGTAACATTCAAGCATGTCTTTTCTCTCTTTTTTTGTATGTGTGTGATGTTCAAATGCCAATTCCCATTTTATCGGTGCGCAATCCATAAAAATGTAAGACCACAAAGAGGTGCCGAACTACTTTTATTTCCTCTAACTTTACCTTGTTATAGTATTTATTTGAAAAAATGGTCACAATTAAAGCTTGTTCTCTTAAAAATGATTTGCATCAAGATATGCAGTTGACAATCTGATTCAAATACAGCAGCAGCTGTAGGGCTGTCTAAATTGCGAGCAGGCCCTACAAAAGGGCTCCTTGAGAGGGTCAAATCCCAGCCCCTCACCCCACGGGGGACAGATGGCTGTGAGACATGATGGCCAGGCCTGTAAAGGAACCAGCTTTTTCCTCAACAGCCACTATAAAGCGGCACACTCTGCCAGTGGGTCTCAAGTCTGGAAAGAGTTTGACAATTTAGCCGCTTATTAAGTGTGACTGCAGCCTTTTCGGGTATGTTAGAAATTGTCATTTTTACGCAGTTGGTATCAGATGAATCTTTGAGACCTGTTCTGGTTTGCTTGATTACAAAGAATGCTGACAAAAGGACATTACTATAATGGGTCTTATTCATGAAAAAATTTAATCTATTTAAACACTGCAACACTATGTAAACTATGTAATTTAAGCTCTTGGTTTATAAGTTTTTACTTTTAATTTGACATGTTCTAACCCTTTTATAAATATATTTATTTTACTTTAAAAGTACTATTACCATCATACTAAAGTATACACAGAATAATACGTAAAAAAAAAAAAAAAAAAAACATGTATGTCACATGGTCCTTCAGAAATCCTTCTTAATATGCTGATTTGGTGTTTAAGAAACATTTGTTGTGCTGCTTAATATATTTGTGAAAACTGTGTGATGCATGTCAGGAATCTTAATGAACAGAATTTAGAAAGTTTAAAAGAACAGCATTTATTTGAGAACTCTTTTGTAACGGTATAAATATATTTTCTGTCACTTTTGATCAATTTAATGCATGTTCGCTGAATGAAGGTATTGATTTCTTTCACACAAAATTTGTGTGAAAGAAATTAATACTTTCATTAAGCAATATTACGGCTGTCACGATTCCTCAATTAAAGTCAAGTGCTTTATTTTCCAATTTACTTGTGCAATTTACAAAATACGGAAGTGGCGCATTCCATGGATGAGAATTCATTAACAGCATTATTAGACCGTTTTCTGCACAATATATTAAAACCATTTAAAAATGATAATATAGCTTAGTGCTATTGTGAAATCACAAAGGTTGCGATTCAGTTAAAGAAATTAATACTTCAGATGCAAAAACCTCTAAGTTAGTCTGACATTTTTCTTTTAAATCAGCTTTTTTTTTTATCAGGCTCCTATGTTTAGGCTCTGTAATTTCACTTTAATGGCAATGAAAAGGTTATTAGTCAGTAATTAAAAATGCCTTATTTTCAAAAATGTCACTTTAGTCAATTCAGTGGTATTTAACAAATTTGATTGTCTTTTGCTGCAAAACTAGCTTTTTTTTTTTTGCAAAAACCTCTAAGCCCACCTCTTTGGACAATACATAGTAAACAGTTGTAAAATCCCTACTGTCCCGTGACCATGTCCGCATATTCAGGTCCAAGTGCTCACAGGTCGAATGGGACCCGCGGGCGTTTCCCGATCCCACCCTATCTCTCTCCAGTCACTCCTCGCTGTCCGTTCTGAATAAAGGTAAAAGGCTAAAAAAATATAATTCACGCAGTATTACCATGACACAAAATGGCAAATAACAACATAAAACAACAAAACAAAAACATTGATCTGTGGGTGGAATAGTGAGTCACATTCATTTACTTGTCACCTGAGGAAAATAAAACATTACATGCACACTTTGTTTATACAGCCTCTCTTGTAATTGCAACTTTATATATCCTGTGCATTTTTGTATATTCTGTGTGTAGTTATATACTTTATACATATTTACTGGTGGTATTTTTTGTGTGTGTATTTTGTGTTAATTCTGTATATTTGTACACTGTTAATCTTTACTTAGTGTTATATTATGTTTGTATTTTTGTATTATCCTGAGAAGTCTGGCTGCTTATGCATTACAATTTCCCATTGGAGATTAATAAATCATCCATACATACATGACACAATAACTACACCATACACTACACTCAAAATAAATACAAATATATATTTAAAATATAATAACCTATATATATATTTTAAAAAATCTATATAAAATTGATGTATCAAAAATAAATAATAAATACATGCCTATAAAAGTGTACTGTTAAGTAAGTTTTGCATCAAGTCAGTAAACATTAAACTGATATTAGTCAAATCTAAACAATCCATTGTCATAAAATGTACATTTCTAGTATAAACTTCTTCTAAACATCTTCGTTTAGTTAAACAGGAAAAACTTGCAGCTTGATTTTTGAAAGCCGGCTCATACCATAGACTGTAAAAACACACGCCGTCATTCATCTTCAAATCATATTATTCAATTAGCGTCTTCTGATTGCTTCTGTGAACTTTTGCTTTTGCTGGCAAAGGGAAGTGGAGTTTAGAGGGTTCTGCCAACGAACCGGTATTGCTGAATATGCTGAGGCTGGGATTTAGCGGGTTTGAAGCGAAAGTATTTAATGAAGGTGTAATCTGTGCCGAGAGCATTCACTCAATATCGTCCTCCCATTTTTGACGGAGGTGGCATTTAGCAGCTGAAGTCTTCAAATATATGTGCTGTGTGTTTCAGAAGTGCGACGCATTAATTATTTACATGCGTACAGCTCGGTTAACAAACTCCATCTCTGCATGAGCTGAGAGTTTGGGTTGCTTATAACTTTCACCTTGGTATCCAACCGTGTCATTTCACCAGATTTGTAAACCTATGCCAACACAGGAGAATACATCGATGTTCTGCAAATTGTTGTTCATTCTGATTTCAAAATAAAAGTGTACACCCTCGCTGCGAGTTAGCATCTTTTGATGTCCACATGTTCTTGTTCAAGAAATGACAGTGGCTGTAGCATTTCTGTCATAAAGCAGTGGCTAAATAATAAAGATTAAGTGGACATTTGGATTAAATGTTGTTTGGTCAATTTTAAACAGGCATTTGATCATGCTGTAAAGTGTAATAACAAAATTGGCAGGCAGTTTACTTTATTTATACCATGTTTTCTCTTTTTTTTTGTAATGCACCATGTAATATTTATATAGCTATATCTTAACATGTAACAAACCTTTTCTCCATAGGAGCTGAAGTTGCCGACGTACCAGGCCCACTCTCCACAGATAGGGATGCGCCGGTACTTTGCCGACCTGCTCGCTGTTCTCAGTAACCGATACCAGCTGTGCCCTACAGCACGTCACCTGGCCGTCTACCTGCTCGACCTCTTTATGGACCACTATGACGTAGCGGTGCGGCAGCTGTACGTCATCGCCCTCTCCTGCCTCCTCCTGGCCAGTAAGTCAAAGAGTAATGTGATCGCACTGTAGTTGATGCTTTTATGTGCCTGTGCTGTAGGGCTGTCAAAATTGCTCAAAAATGACGTTCGAATATTCCCTCTAAAAAAAAACCATATATTCGAACTATTCGAATATCTGGTTGCGCATTTTGTCAATGACGCGCATTACGTCAATAACAGGACAAATTAATACAAAGAGACACAACTACTTGTATAGGTAGTTTATTTAAGTTTAAACATATTTGACAACGTATTAACTTACACAAAACCAAGTAAATCAACTAATGGCCAAGACCGCAGACCTTACTCTCGCTCGCACTCGCAGGCACTCTCTCTCTCTCTCTCTCTCTCTCTCTCTCTCTCTCTCTCTCTCTCTCTCTCTCTCTCTCTCTCTCTCTCTCTCTCTCTCTCTCTCTAACAAATGTTGAGTGCTGATCAAGAGTTTTGTGCAAGCAATTTAAGGTCGCGACTCTTGTCCTAAATATAGCAGGCTTCATTCGGTGATTGAAACAAATATTATTAACATTAATTGAAGTTTTACAGTATATAGAACCGACATTGAACGCTCCGAGCGAGCTGTGCTGTGGTAAACTGCTGCTAGCCTGCTACTATGGCTATTTCGAGGGCGTCTGGCCACGCCCCCATTGGCGGGCTCTGACGTGTCTGATGTAATGCTAGCTCATTGGCGCACACGTTGGAGGCGCCCGTGCCATTGGATGTGCAGTTGACGCAGCACAGCCAATGAGTGAGCCAGACACTCACTGTGCTATCTGTCTGTGCAGCTGGAAAATGCGTTTTACATTTTAAGCTTCAGAATTTCGCCACTCGCAAAGCAGACAGCCGCGCCTCTGCTACCGCGGGCGTGTTTTTCCACATGATTCGAATATTAATTTTCACCTTCGAATTTCTGTTTTTTAAAACTATTCGAATATATATTCGAATTTAGAATACTCGTTGACAGCCCTACTGTGCTGCTGGTGTTTCACTCCCTTTACCTGTACCTGATCCAGCTGTAAACTCATAGCAGGTAGCCGAAGTGAAATTGAACTCAAGAAATGTCATTTTGTGACTGCTCGCATTGAACGGAGCAAGTTTGTGTGACTCTAGCTGGCTGTTGTATTGTGCCTGTGTGACAGCTGTGTGCATAAGAGGGCATGGCCTCCGCTGGCCTCAAGACCTTTTAGTCAGTCTCCAAGGCAACCTATCCAACGCACAAACCAGAAAGATACGGCTGCGTTGGCATGATGCAAGCCCCTAAGTCTAACCGACGATTTCTGGCAGATTACGAAAGCAAAAGGAGAGAGGCCGTCTTGCAGTGATGCAGAAGTGTCGCCTGATGTCTCCAGTAGATTTATAGTGCAGGAAACAAGGAAGTCTGACTCAATATACATGTGCTGTGTAATGTGGCATGGCGTGTTATCAGTGGTGGCACGTCTGCTTACACACAAAACAAAGCGGGACAGATAAGATAGAGGGGGGTGACTTGTGTCGCCATGTGTTGGTGTTTTTCACAGATTAAAATCTGGAGCCTAGATCAAGGCGGCCGAAAACCGATTTCGTAATGACAGTTATTAATTCAGATTGCTCTCTGCATATGCATCTGCGCTTAAATGACCTGAATAATCTAAAGGTTGTCTTTAAATGCCAAATCTCTCTCATACTTCTGACCCTCATTATGGCCGACTCTTGTTGGGGGAGGGTTGTTTTGCGCTGGCCGGCAATTGGCAGTGTTCAGGCATTAATTAATTGCTTTGACTGAATGAATAATGGCTTTGGCTCATGTTCCTTGTTAAAATATCCCTCCCTCTCCCGAAGTCATTGATTCAAAGCCATTGTTGGGTTTCTCTAAGAGTCGCCAGGAGTCAGTGTGTGGGGGACAGGGCGCTTAAAGCTGAGAGCTTAGCAAAGTTTCCATTCAGACCAAGATTTATTATGACAAATTGTAGGGAGCTGCTCTTTGCATTAAACAGACTGGTTTGTGATTGCGTATTATAGAAAATCCCATCTTACGGTTAATTTGAGCTCCTATTTAGAGGTTTATCGTATACTGCCTGCCTGTCAGTGTTGTTAAAAACTATTTTTGTTAATTAAAATAAAGCTAAAATATATATATATATATATATTGGATGAAACTTAAACAAAAATTAGAAATGCTATTTTGGGAACTAATGGAAATAAAAGTACTAAAATGACTAAAACAAAAACTGAAATGATAATAAATGGTCCTGTTAGTTAATGTAATACATTGTATTTATTCATCTTTGTTAAAGATTTGGTCAATAAAAATACATGTTCATTTGTTAGTTCATGTCAGCTAAACTTCATTAAATAATGTTGAATGATACAACTTTTATTTGTGTAATGTATTAGTAAATGTTAAAATTCACATAATAAAATTAATAAATGCTTTAGAATTATTTTTCATTGTTAGTTCATGTTAACTAAAGTAGTCAACTAATGTTAGCTAATGGAACCTTATTGTAAAGTGTTACCAAATAAATTAAAGATATATAGAAATATAAAACTAATAAAAATGACTAAAGCACATAACAAATACTAAAACTTAAACTGAAATTTAAAAGAAAATGGAAAATATAAAAATAAATGCTAACTGTAAATATTAAGGAATATTATAATAATACTAAAATAACCCTGCTGCCTGTCTAAAGCTCATTTACTTTGGTTTAAGGTTTTTTTTTAAGCTCGTATAATTTGAAGCCAGAGCGTAACCTCGTATTAAGTCAGTAATAACACTGGATGATCGTCCTGCAGAAATTGCACCATGCCGAGAGCGTCAGCTGAGAACATGTGAAAACATTACTCTCCTGAAACAGAGGAAAAGAATCAAGACTTTCAAATCGAATTTTTAGATGATAATGTTCAGCGATGAATGCAGCTTGAGGATATGCATGGACGAACACTTGAGCTTGATGTTATCAGCACAATTAGCCCCACACACCCACCCGCTCTCATTCTTTTTGCTGAAGACTTTGGAGGAGGACAAGAGGGCGAGATATCAGGCTCATTTCCTCTCCTGAGCTGGGGTGATCGGGGGTTTGTTATGGTAACCGGTTTAAAGCACAATGCATGACAAGAACTCGTTTTTTTTTATCAAATCTGATTGCATGTAAACATAAAAAAGGATATGTTTTTGGATATTAAAGGTCTATTCTCTGCATGTTGAAGGAATAATGAAAACAAGACGAGGTGAAACAAGAAGCCCTGTTGAAATGGCATCTGTCCTGTAACTAATGGGGCTGCTGCTCGGAAAACGGTGTAGAGTAGCATGTCAAATGCAGGCTGGCCCTTTCCTCAGAAGGGCGAGGGAGGGGTGGGGGAGCTGAGGGCCCTAGAGGGGCATGTTTGAACTGAAACACTCAGCAGGGTTCCTGATATTCAGATTAGTGTGACAGATTCCCCCTTGAGGTTTGATGCTAATGAAAAGAATTTGTACACACCAGGTAATTAAGAAAAGACACTGTGCAGTGTTGTTTTTTTGTGTGTCAGCTGGGCATTTTTGACTGTGAAGGTCTTCCAGGTCCACTGTTTATATATGTATATATATATGTATATATATATATATATATATATATATATATATATATATATATATATATATATATATATATATATATATATATATATATATGTGTATGTATGCATGCATGTATGTATGTATGCATGTATGTATGTATATGTACACACACACACACACAAACTTCATATTTGGTTGTCTCTTCTATTTTGGGCACTTTTAAAATTTGAAGGTTATATTAACTTGAAAACCAACACAGCATTTGTTTTTGCTGTATATATTTTATTACATATCTTTGTCCAAGACCCAAACTTTTATTCTTAAAATATTATTGCATTTTGATATAAATTTGGTAAAATACACATTTAAACTAAGAGTGAAATAATTGTTGACCAAATTACCATTTAAGATATATATTTCAAATTATGCAAAAAGAAAATATTTAATTGTGTATTTAGGAAACATAAAATGCTATTTATAAAATGCAGCCTGAATACTACTAAACGCTATTTCATATTTGGAAGAATATCATGGATGTTTTAGGAAAATCTCATTATAATCCCCAGAATTCTCCTGTGATGCTTGTATACACTGAAACTAGAGTGAGAGTTTAAAGTGCATTTTAAAGAGAGTTTATTTTCTAAAAGTCCACAGAAACTAAAGTGCTCATAGCTGAAGAAACACCCTCTTATTGCCCAGTTCATCTCAGGGGTTACTTAGAGTAAATATTTTAGGTCGTAGAGGTTCAACTGGGTGAACACATGGTGTAACGAATTACTTACTAAATCTGTGATAGCATTTATTGAATTTACATCTGACTCTTCTAATAACTGGCTGTTTATATATCAGCTTGTAGTAAATGCACAGTTTTTGTTATAATAAATGGTACTTTTAACAGCAAAATATTATTCAAATCAAAGTGTATTAAAAAAAATAGGTACACATCCAAATGTGCAGAGTGCTTTAAGATGTAGCGTTTCATTTAATAGGACAAAGACCTGACGTTGTCTATAGCATGCGTTTATTGAAAGTGTCAAGGAATGAAGGAGTGACCTTGGTTTCTCTTTGCTGTTTGGACTGTGTCTCCTCCACGCCAGCCAGTGATCTGTGGGGGACTGTGTGCGCTCAACCATGAGCCGCAGAAGTCAGAGGTCGTGGGGCCCTCATTGTTGGAGCATTAGACTGGAGGGGAAGCAATACTAGGGAGCCTTGGACTTTGGGGAAAAGATATTAACACCTAGCACCTAGAGTCAGGAAGGGGAAACCAAGAGAACAAAGGAATTCTGCAGAGAAGGGCTAATTCACCGTGAGGCAGCTGTGCTCTTTCATTACAGGAATTCATGAAATGCCTCACCTTGATGCCAATGCATATCCTTTTATAGAAACTTAAGTGTGTGAATGAAGCACAGAGATGTATTGTTCTTAGATCAAGAATGTTTTAGATCTTAGTGACATCTGGATAAAAAGAAATCGCTATAAAATTCCCTTGCTTTCATCCATTAGACATCATGAATCTGTAACGTGACAACAGCGGGATAATCCACAGGGAAATGCATTCATATTTTTAACATTGTAATTTAACCGAGCATGTAACATTGATCAAATGAAATGCCTGAGCTCAAATATGGTCTTTTCACAGGTAAGTTTGAGGAGAAGGAGGACCGTGTGCCCAAACTGGAGCAGCTGAACACTCTGGGCTTCATGTGCAGCCTGAACCTCACCCTCAACAAGCGGGACCTCATCAAGATGGAGCTGCTGTTGCTGGAGACGTTCGGTTGGAACCTGTGCATGCCCACACCTGCCCACTTCATTGACTACTACCTCCACGCTGCTGTCCAGGAGGGGGACCTACACAACGGCTGGCCCCTCTCCTCCCTGTCCAAGACCAAAGCTTTCATGGACAAGTACACACACTACTTCCTGGAAGTCTCTTTGCAAGGTAAGGAAAATAGTCATTTTTATTTGAATTTTTATTTCAAATGAAATGAGTAATAGTGATGATGAAACATTTAGCAATTAAAAGTGTAGCTTGAAAAGATCAATTCATATTGTAAATTTGATAGAAATGTTATCATTTTTATATCGTCATTATATTTCAAACCTCTAATACACATTAGCGTTCAAAAGCTTGGAGTCTCTACTATTTTTTTCATGTTTTTAAAGGAAGTCTCTTATGTTCAACAAGGCTGAATTTATTTGATCAAAAATACAGTAAAAACAGTTATATTGTGAAATATTAAATTCAAATGTAATTTATTCCTGTGTTGGCAAAGCTGAATTGTCAGCATCATTACTCCAGACTTCAGTGTCACATGATCCTTCAGAAATCATTCTAATATGCTGATTTGCTGCTCAAGAAACATTTCTTATTATGATCAATGTTGAAAACAGTTGTGCTGCTTAATATTTTTGTGGAGACAGTAGCTGCGTTTACATGGACACTTATAATCGGATTGACGGCTCAATTGGACTAAAAAACCTTCATGTAAACACCTTAATCGATCCGATTGGAATTTCGATCGGATTGAAAGGGGTGGTTTACTCCTTATGTAATCCAATCGACAGAACATGTAAATTCATGCTCATCGTCTCCAAATCATGCAGAGACGGAAAAATATTAAGTCTGCTGTTTAAAACAAATAAAGATCCAATAGAGGAGAATAGTTAAGCATGAACAGCGGCGGCATATTCGTGCAGTGTGAGCATGTCAAAAAATCAATTTCGATTTAAATCTAGTCACATATAAACGCGCACATCAACCCGATTCATTTATTTATCGTTCATGTAAACACCGTGTCCGGATTCATCAATCGGATTGATTTCATTCCGATTGAACCAAAATGTGTCCATGTAAACGTACCGACTGATACATCTGTTTCGGGATTATTTGATGAATGGAAAGTTCAAAAGAACAGCATTTACTTAAAATATATATATTTTTGTAACATTACTGTCACTTGATCAATTAATAGACGTATTCTATCAAACTAAATCCTCCTGACCACAAACTTTTGCACAGTAGTGTTTATTACATTTATTATAATAAATTCCTATAATAATGTAGAATATAATACACTGTACAATAATGTACAATAGTCAATATATGTGACCGAACCTTACGGTAATTGAATATTCTTTTTTTTTTTTTTTTGCTTGCCAACTGTAAATGGCCTACTGACTAATGAACTGTATAATTACTTGGTGGAAGAACAAAATGGTTTACAATAATGTAATTTGATTTTTTTAATTTTAATATTTTTAATCAAATCAAAATTAAATGCATGTTTTATTTTTATATGCTTAATAAATAATCATCAATTGATATAATTTATTGCTTATTTTTTAATTGCAATATGCAAGCTCTTAACCATGATATATAATCACTGAGGATCTAATATAGCGTGTTTTGTGTGCATCTTTGTGGTAGATCATGCCTTCCTGAGCTTCAGGCCCTCTCAGGTGGCAGCTGCATGCATAGCTGCGTCCAGAATCTGCCTGCAGATCTCCCCCAGCTGGACCACTGTCCTCCACCTGCTCACGGGCTACTCCTGGGATCATCTGACGCAGTGCATCCAGCTCATGTTACTGTAAGAGCAAACCGCAGTGTATACCCTCGTTCATGCAGCATAATGTTCCCTGAAGTAAACCACACATGCTTCACTTCACCTTGCCCTTACAGTTGCCTTTTGTTTACTTTTTCAGCGCTCATGACAACGACGTAAAAGAGGCCAACAAATCCAAATCCTCCCCTTCCGCCGGTCAGAGTTTCCAGCCACAAGCTCTCATCCCCCCCAGCCTCGCCACCCCCTCTCTGCAGAGGCAGCCCACCTCCAGCACCCAGCAGCTGCTCCTGCAGGCCAGCAACTACCCACAGCTCTCCCAACACTCGCCGGCACTGTCCCAGCTGCACATGCTGGCCGACTGCCAGGCCCTGGGACCGGTGGGCTCTCGGGAATATCTGCAGCCCCACCAGGCCAGTCTGCTTTCGGCCTCGATGCCGGCCAGCTCCTTCGCTTCTTTCCCCAGCTTGGCGTCGGGGCTGCGAGGCTTGCCACTCCCGGGTCCCATCTCCATGCAGGTGAGCATGGGACCCGAGCGCCACTGCCTCGGTCTGACTTACGGGAGCGGTTACTTAAGCTCCCACCACACCTTCACAGCCGGCTGCTTTGACAGGTGACGCCAGGAGAGGGAGGACAAACTCAACCTTGGGCTGCCACCGTCCTCCGCCCTCTCCGCCCCCGAGGGGATTCGTCTTGGACGACGACGAAGACTTTCCAAACAGAAGGCCAAGAGTCGAGCAGACCCCACAGAGGTTATAGTATTAACTTAAAAAACGGCCTTTAAGCTCTCGTTTTTTTAGCTTTGGCTGCTTCCTTTTGGGATTTTTATGAACTGAGGATGTCTATTTTTTAAGATTATTTAGCCAAGTGAGGACCTTCTTCCAGTGCTGTGCCACAAACTGTCGACCTCAAAAAAAGAGGAAGGATGCTCTTTTGACTTAGGGATTATTATTTTTTAAGCATACAGCCTTAAGAATAGAAATCGCGGAGATCCGCATTCCATCCCACCAGCATTTTCAAACGAGTCCTTGAACTTTCACACTGGATTTTGCTGTATGGTCCTTTGATGCTGCTGCCTTTTATATGAACCGATGGCTTTACGACCAAGAATCCTGTCTCCCTTCTGGTCTTGTTTACAGTGACATGCCACATATCAGGGATGTACAGTTATCTTTAATACATACACACAACATACCATTGAACCAGCTGATGTTTGTATGAAGTAGCTCCTTTTGTTTCTTGCCGATGCGGTCTGTAGAGAAGGTTGACGTTACGCTGAGGCTCCGGTTCCCTCAGGCAGATGGAAGGAGACGCCCCAAGGGACGGAGGCATCTGTGCTGGAGGAAACCATGCTTTACTAGTTCCTCCTCCCCACAGGGAAAAATAGCCATGATCGCCCTGCAGTTCTGCCGTGCGCTATGAAGACGACTTCATTGTTCCTATCAGACACTGTGGCTCGTAAAGATTACCTCACTGTTACACTGTCGCTCACATTTACCTCCAAGGTCATGCTAAGAACTAGTTTAACCTCACCGCTCGGGTTAGAAAAGAGGGTTCTGCTGTTACAGTGTGCTTCAGTTGTAGGGTCATACCTTTAGATCAACATTTTAGTCCAGACGTCTTGTTTCTGTTAAACTAACGGGATATTTTAAAGCAGACTGTAATATTTGGTCCAAAATATTTTATTATTATTGTTGTAAACTAAAGATAAAATTAACCAAACATTCTTCTTTTCTTTTGTTTTTGGTTCTTAGACTACACAATGAATTCCTTTATGTTGACTGGCCTTAAGACCAAAGTGTCTGCTTTACGTCCTGCTGAATGAGAAGCTTTTTCAACCACTTTACTGGACTGGATCAAAATCTTTCTCCTACAGTCCTGAACTTTGAACTACCTCAATATATTGCCATTTACTTGCTGATTCTGCAGGGCTTGTCTTTTCGTTTTATGTTTTTTCTTAATTGATCAGAACATTCATGTACTTCGTTGCATATTTTTTATCCAGAACTTAGTTTTTTTTGTTAAAGTCCCGTGTTTTGTATAGGTAGAGAACGGTGTTCACTGTAACAGACACGCACTGTTTGATATTTCAAGTCATTCTCTTGTTGAAGCCTCTGTGTGTGCAATATGTAATCATTAGTTTGTTACTTTTTAGACTGTATATATTTCATTTCATTTTGTACCACTACTTTTTTACTATGTAGAATTAGTTTTTTGTTGGTTTGGTTTGTTTTAACACGCGATTACTGCTTCCAGGCAGTGATTTATTTTTCCACCAAGAAAATGTTGCACATTGCAACCAATGTCTCCTGAATCTCTAGACATGTAGTAGACTAGAGAATCGATTCTGCTCATTCAGTGATCTAATGGGTTTATTTAAAAGCCTGTATTTGGGTAGGGGAGGGGATAACAGGTGTAAATTGGATGAAAACCCCAGAAATAAAATGAAAAGAAAAAAAAACCACAAAAGCTTGGTAAATGTTTCGTTCATGTGTGAATCATACATTTTGAATAGACGCTGGATTTGCATGGCTCAAGGCGAGTTGTTTCATGTGAATGTCTGGACTCATTGCACATGAAAAGGTCTTTGGAGGTTTGGGGGGGGTGGGGTTGGGTTCATTTGGCTCCACCCCAAATACCACTGCCCTCCCCCTTCCTCCTTGCATGTAACGTGCTGGACTGGAGACAATGGGGGAGATTCCTGCCCCACATGGTGGTTCTTCCTGTCACTAAACACCACTAAACAAATAAAGCGCATCCAACTGAGTACCACTGATCGTTTCAGAGATAAAAGCTCTCGGGCTCAAAGAGCAGCCGACAATAGCTACAGTGAAGTTGGAGTAATGGGCAAAAAGTATTTTTTCTGTCCGTGGGTGTTTTAAGGAAACATCTGTGTGGTGCAAAACACAGAAGAAGATAAGATTTAACATTGGAAGGTACAGAGATCATTTGACTAGTGGTTATAGGCTTTTACTAATACAAACTGTTTTTTTAGTTACACAGAGTCCTTTAAAATAATTGATGTTGCTTGGTTTACATGTTAGACCTTAAAGGGATAGTTTGACCAAAAACATTCCAAACCTGTATGACTTTATTTCTTCTGTGAAACACAAAAGAAGATATTTTGAAGACCGTTTCGACTTCCAATGTATTTTTTTAGGGCCGGGACTCGATTAAAAAAAATAATCTAATTAATTAGAGGCTTTGTAATTAATTAATCGAAATTAATCGCATTTTAATTGCATAAATATTTGACCTGAGAACAGTGAGAAGTAATTTTTTTCACATGGATTTTTAGTATACCATTGAATAATGACTGAATACATAAGCTTAAGCAACAAAATATTGTTTATTTTTGTTCAACCAAGTCCAGCAGACCAGTGCAATTTTTGTCATTAAGTGTAGCAATAGCATATTGCTACACTACAATAGCGAATTCCTTGTTGCATAGCTTGCACACAACCATGCTCTTATCGACGCTTCCATCCGTTCGTTTTTTGTAACAACATTTCCCATCCACCGGCCAACCAAAGCGATCCTTCTTATACTGTCTATGAAGCGATCTCGTCAGCTTCTTCGTCATGAACGCTAGTTGGTGCGCCAGTATAATCGGTCCGCCGAAACTCATCCAGTGAGAAACGTTCCGCGGTGCAAAAATAAGTGCGATTAAAAATATTTTTTTTGTGTAATTAATTAACGCGTTAAAGTCTGTAATTGATTAATCTTAATTAACGCGTTAAAGTCCCGGCCCTAATTTTTTTGCGAAGTCAATGTGAACCGAAACAATTTGGTTATCAACAACATTCCTCAAAATATCTTCTTTTGTGTTCCACAGAAGAAAGAAAGTCATATAGGGTGAGTAAATGATGGCAGAATTTTCATTTGTGGGTGAACTATCCCTTTAATGACCTTATAAAACCTTTCCTGACTTGAGCCTTATTATACAACCCTATATAATTTTATTCTTTTAAGAGGCCATATCACTTTATAGGCTATAAAACTGGTCTAGGAGTACGACAGTTGGCTGAAAGTGATGGTTTATAATTAAAATAACGTTTAAAATACTAGTATTTTTCTCACACACCTATCGTTTAGCTTCAGAAGACACATGGGGTTATATGGATCACTGTTGTGATCTTTATGTTCATCTGGGGAAAAAAAATCATCTGAGGGCGAGTAAATGTTGAGAGAATTTAAATTTTTGGGTGGAGCATCCCTTTAAAATGTTAACAATTCCCGATAGGGTGGAGCTTGCGGATTAGGGGTTTTGCGGAGATTGGCCTCTTATCTGTTTAATTAAAGAGATTGGGTGGATAGCGGACCGAGAGAGGGGTCCTCCCTTTGTGCTGGAGCCTGGTGGGGGGTACATGGGCAGACCCTGGGAGGTGGGACACATGTCTGAGTTGGTGTGATGATGAAGAGATGTGAAATCAGATGAGGGGGGTTGAGAGCTGGTAAAGGGGCAGTTGGGTAATGGATCATTTTCACAACCTTTGTTTGCAAAGCAAGGAAGGGGAGGGCCTGGCACCTTTTTTCTTAATTATCAGGAGGGGGTACCTCTAAACAGAAGCGTTCCCTCGACTGCTTTTGTTTTATTTCTTTATGCATTCGTGGTCAAT